TGATCGTCTGACTAAATAGCCTAATCCCACTTTCTCTCCATAAACTTTGATCCCATTTTTACCCAAGTGCTATATCTAGTCACCTATTTGTTCTAGGGCTCTTGGGGCACAGTGATAGTGTCCCTACCTCTGAGTCAGGACGCCGGAGTCACCTGCTCTAGAGGTATGCAATAATATTTGAACAGATTGATGACTTGGTCTTGTTCTACAGAAATCATATTGGCTGTTATTTACCAATCCTCTGACACTGTTCCCTTTCCCAAAATAAAAATATAGTCCATCTGTAACGACAAAAATTGTAGTTCTCTCCTTTATCTCCCCTGTTTTAAATATACACAGATGCCACTTACCTTGACCATGAGTTTTAGCTGCTCAAGTTTGATGAGTTTAAACAATAGGTTACCTCTTTCTATCATTAATATCTTTATATCTATTTGATCATCATCTCATCAAAATCTCTTGGATAAATATTTAATATTAAATATTGGATAACTGGATAAATATTTGGTTTAATATTTGTCATTCTGCTCTCATTACCTGCAAATTCATAAAAATAGCCCTTGACTGTTTCACTGTTTCTTTCTAACCTCTTATTAATGATTCTGTAATATTCCCTAATACTTCTCTCAGTAACTTTTGATAACTTTCTTGCGCCTCACCCCCACCCCACATTTCTTGACTTCTTCCCTAACTTTGCAGTACTTCCATTTATCAACCTCTCCTCTGTTAGCTAGGTGTTTAGTGAATGCCTTTTGATGCCAGCAATTTTGCCCTGGTTTCTTTATTCATTCATGATGGGTCATTACTGACAAGTTTTCTTTTCCGCGCTTGGTTTTTCATTGGATGTATTTCTCCTGGAACTATTGGTCATTGTTTGAAATGTATACCAGTTCTGTTCTCTTCCCAGGTTGGTTTACTCTGCATGCTTCAATTCTCATCCCCAGAAAGTTAGTTTCTTTCCTTAATTTACTAGTTTCATCTTTGTCCTAATGTGACCACATCAATATTTACAAACCTGATCATATTATGATTCATGTTGACTCTGTGTTTCCCTCTGGGCACTCCTCTCATTAATTCTGGCAACTTCCCACTATTGGATCCTCTCTGTGGCACTTTTAGCATACTGTGCAAGAATGGAGTACTGCACCCAACGTAAAAACAATGTTCACTTCTGGAGCCCTTTTCATAGCACTTCTGTGAAATGTGATGAATCTACAGCCCTATGTTGATCGGGCTGGGGAACGGGACTAGTTACGTAGCTCTTTCAGAAACCAGTACAGACACAATGGGTGAACTGCCTCCTCTGCACTGTAAAAGTTTCTTAGCTGTTTATTTTGGGGTAATTATAATCTCTATGATTCTATGCTGTTTACTTAGTCATGTTTATTTATATATCTTTTCCTCCACACCACTGCACCGGGCAAGTTGCAGGTGATTTCTTTTATGTCAACTAATCCCAACTAACTTTTTACTTCGATCCATATGCATCAAGCTTCTAATCTTCTATTAGCTATCTCTCTATTCTCTGATGCCATTATGTAATCTTTAATCAAACAACTACCCAACACCCTCCTACCCAACACCTCCTGCTTTGCCAATCATTTCTGATTATGTTACAACCTGCAATTTGTAGTTGTCAGTCTTCTTTATATTGAATAGATTCAGTTATTGATGTTACATCTGGTTTCTTGCCACAGACTCTTGCTTTAGTTCCTTTGTTTTATTTTGAATGTCAAGCAACTTAAGTCATCTATATTAGTGGTTCCTTTTCCTTTATTTTTAAAAGTCCTTTTATAATTATGTTCAAACAGCATTTGTTCCTCTTATTCTTTACCTGGCTATGACCTTTACTGTCATCTCCTTTTTAATCTTCACATTTATGTTATTTTTACACCATCTTTCGCCCTCTATTTTGTTTGTGCAAAGTGGTGCAGAATGTAGACGGGATTAAGAAACAATTAAGGGTACAATTACACACCTGGGATGTATTCTCACATACTACTCACTGGAAAGGTAGAGGGGCAAATTTGGAGAGAAATTACAGAGATCCAAGAACATTAGAGCAGTGACAGTTGGGGATTTCTGAAGCATGCTCAGGAAAACTTTGCCAGTTCAATGAGGAAGAAGGTTTTGCCATTTTATTCCGAGAAATCAAGTGGGACAAACGCATCAAATGTCACAAAGGGAACATTTAGAGATGTGATCACTGTACTATATGGTTTGGATCAATGATAGAAAAAGACAAGATGCAAGCCAGGGTAAAAACATACTTGACTGCAGGAGTGCAATTTCAGTAGGTTAAAAATAGACCTGTGCTGCATAAACTGGAATTAAAGACTGGCACACAAAACTGACTTTTTCTGGATGAAGTGGTGCAAATTCAGATTACTTTAAGAACTCTCCACTTGCGGAGATGATGCCCTCCTTTGGGTTTTCAATTCACTTCGACTTCAATTTCCTCAAGAAATGCAGATGGTTCACAGAAAGGGTGGTTGGCGTTGGCAGGCGGTGAGGGGGGTTGGTGGTAGGAATGTTCTTTTCTCCTGTGCTGCCTTAAAGGGAAGGTGGCTCAGGTAGTGTTGAAATATACTCCCAAAATGGGGAAGGAAGGGCAACTAAAGCCAGAGATCCCTGCGTGACCAAAAAAAGACAGTGAGATAAAGTAGATAAACAATGTTTAGGATATATCAGGCTAATAATAAGTGGGAGTTTGACGGATATTGACAACATAAAATAGGGATACAATTTTAAAGTAGGTGCAAAGCTCAGTCATTAGTATGGCTGCCTCACTGTGCCAGAGACCGGAGTTGAATACTACCCTCTGGCGACTGTGTGTGGAGTTTGCACATTCTCCCATGTCTGTGTGGGTTTCCTCTGTTCACTGTTTTCCTCCCACAGTCCATTGATGTGCAGGTTAGGTGAATTGGCCATGCTAAATTGAACATATTGCAGGCCAGGTGGATCAGCCATTGGAAATGCTGGGTTAAAAAGTTAGGGTACAGGGGGTGGGCCTGGTCAGGATGCTCTTTAGAGGGTCGACGGTGGGCTTGATGGACCGAATGGCCCGTTTCCACACTACAGGGGATCCTAAGATTCTGAGAGAGACTTTGAGATATGTATTTAGAAATGGTTGAAAGTGGCTGTGCAATTTGAGAAACTAGTTAAAAAGTTTGTAGGATCCTGTGCTTCATAAATTGAGACATGGAACAAAAGGAAGGAAGAAAGATATGTTGAGTCTTCATTAAACACTAGTTGACCTCAAGTCAACAAGGATGAGTAGGCTTTACAGTGGGTGCTGAAACATTTGAGAATGGCTCCAAAAATGCAGGAATTCAGTTAAATGGATAAAAGGAGAATATACCTAACTTCTTCAGTGAAGGAAAGGCAGAGGAGATTTGATAGAGGTATTTAAAATCACGAGGTGTCAAGACAAAGGGTTGAAGAACAGAACAAAAAGCAAAGTGAGGGAACATTTTCATTGCAGAATCTGGAACCAATAACCTTAACGGGTGAAGAAGGCAAATTTGACGGTGCCTTTTAAAAAAAGAGGGTAATATTTGAAGATTAAAACAAAGACTGCAGGTTAGCCGATTATTCTAGAGTGATTCTGTCCCTACCACTAGGCCAGATGGTGCCAGTTCAAGCCCTACATGATTCAGAGGTGTGTCATTGTGGTCTAGATGGGTTGCATTTTCTTCTGTGCAATAACCGTTCTGAGATTTTGAATCTACCTCGTCAGGTGCAGGATCTTACGAAATAGCAGAAGGACTCCATTACGCCCACTGAACTTGCTCTGCTATTCAACACAGTCATGGCTGATGATTATGGGTTTAGACACAATTACACCAAGATCAAAAAGTTATCTGAAACCAAAGTTTTTGTTTTAAAGAAAACTGAAAGGAAAAACATAAAAACTAAAAAAAAAAGTAGGGTTTTGGTAATTTTCATCATTACAGCAACCCCCATCAAGTCAGTTGCAGCCAAAGATGACCATATTCAGGGTTTTGTGATGATTATCTCTACAGCAAAATGTGCTCAAAACCCACTGGTATTGAAATGATCATTGCAATAAAGTCTTGCAAGTTCAGTGTGTGCTGCAAATCAGCAAGGTGAAAATTGACCGTCTGTTTAATGCTGAGACAACTTAACACCTGAAACAACACGCCCAACATCCGTGATGCTATCCACTTTGTGTTCAAAGAGGCACTGTATAGCCAGAGTAGCCTCTTTCTTTGTGTTATTTTACTATCTACTGTTATGATTGTGATCTAAAATATTACTGTCAAATCTCCGGTAGACATAAACATACACCACAAAGTTTTTGAAAAGAACACAGCAGAGCAAAAATGGTGCATTTGTGTAGAACACAAATTACTTGACTGGAGTCACCAAGTGTGCAATGCTTTCAAAGAGAGGTCACATAACCGAGTCTGTGAGTATAAAATGAACAAAGACACAGAAGAATGCAGCCTTGATCCCTTCACTCTGTAAACCCTCGCATCTAATTTTCTGAGTTGAAAACCCAATTGAAAACCTTGTCTTCACAAATGAAGGGCTTTTAAAAGTAGTCTGAATCTGCACCACTACCTCCAGAAAAAGAGAAATAAAAGAATTCAAGCCATAACTGATGCAGGAAGAAACTCAGTGCCAACAGCTTTGGTGAAAAAAGAGACTTTACTGCAGACCAGTATTTGCAACAATTAATGAATAGTTGTATTTTCCAAATATAACTGTCACTTGACCAAAGTATTTTTGAGTTGACACTCTGCAGATTTTTCTATATTCATTCGTATGTTTGGAGAAGACTGTGTGTGTGTGTCAAGAGGATAGTTCCTTCATATTTTAAATTTTGTTTATAACCTTTGCACCTTTACTCAAGTATGCCTTTTTTGCAATAAAAGAGTTCTTTGTTAATTCAAGGAACTTGAAAGCCTTGTTTCTGACACTAAGCTATACAGAGTCCATAATTTTAATTGGGAATATAACCTTCCTATTTAAATTCAAACTTTGTTACTGCCATGAAGCCCTGGCCACAGTCTACATTAAGGTAGATTAATGTACAAGAGTCCCAAGCTCTTGGTCTGAATTGCTTGACTAGACTGGACAAGTGACAATCACTGTGAAATGCTTTAAGTTTCTTTGTGCGGATACATAAATTACATATTATATATTATCAACATATTATAAACATATAAATGACACAATGTTTCTGCAAATTTCTTCACACAAGAAAGAAAAACGTAGATTTGTATAGTGTTTTTCATGACTACCAGGTGTCTCAAAACATTTTTTGTTTTAAATGTAATAACTGGTCTAGTGTAAGAAACACAATGGCCGATGTATACATAGTCTCAAATTTTCAGCTCACACTCTTGGAACTAGGAGCTCGCGATTCAAAGACGAGTGCACTACCAACAGATACGGATGTCAGGGCTGAGGATGGAAACTTGGAAGGCTCGCCATCAAAAAGCTGTTGAGACCAAGGATCAATTGAAAGGTAAATTGGAGGATTTTTGCCGGGCAAAGGACATTAAATCAAATTAACCCAAGGTGGGTACAGACTAATTGACAGAGGAGGGGCTGAACGATCTCCGTCCTGCTCCTACACACTACTGAAGGCAGTCTCAGAGCAATAGATAAATACAAGGTAGCAACTGTCTTTGCTGATTAGCAGTGTGAAATATTATGACAACTACAGATCCACCCGAGTATAATCACAGTTGTCACGCTCTGGGGTCAAATTCTGGGCTTGTTCCAAACAGCTGTCAGCAAAGCTTAATGCCAATTTTTTATCCTCCAATGTTAAACCACAGCCATTGGAGCATGATTAGAGGACTGAGTAGGGCCTTAACTGGGATGAATCCTCATTTAGTTCCTTATTAACAACTGTTGTGGTTGCAGTGGGTGACGTGGAGGTTTGGGAAAGCAATCACATACTTAAAACAGTCAACAACCTATGCAAATCACTTGCCGCGTGAATCAGAAATGCAGCCAGAGCTAGCTGGAGGGACATCAGAGAGAGCAATGTAATTGGAATTATGGAAATCATAAACAAAATGTGTGCACAATATTCGTCCAAAAATCGTTTCAACAGACTGTTTCCAAGATTCTAAGTTAAAGGACAACGCTGCCATCTATTGCTCATAAGTGCACCATGCACCCACCTGTATTCCTGAAGTGGTAAAGTAGGGAATTTCAAACTTCACACTGATGGGTGGCTTTCCCTCCTTGTCTTCAGCTTCCACACTAGGGAGCCCAAAGTGCGCTCTCATCAGATATTCCTTCCCACCCTGCAGACAAAGAGGAGAATAAAAATCAAGTCAGGCAGGCATGAGGACACTGAACAGTGATCACATTTACTGTACATCTCCAAGCAGCTCATTACTATTGCCCCATCAGAGGCACAACTTTCCCACGCACACCCAACCTCAAGCTTCAATGTTGTTAAAACTCGGGCACTAAGCTTGAACCCAACGAAAACTAGTCTAAGTTATTCAGGACACCAACCAAGGAGCAGTGGAACTGGAACAGGTAGCTAAGAACTAAAAATAAACAAGTTAGACAAAACATGCAAGTCTGCAAAACTGCAGTGGATATAGCTTAATATAGACAAGTGAGGAGTACTCACATAGGAAGGGAAATGAGCACTAAGCGGTCCCCAAACTGCCAAAGTTGAAAGAGACCTAGGGATGTTGGCATAATCAATCCTCAACAAGCACAGTACTCACAAAAACTAGTAGAATTATGAACTATACAGAAAAGAAAAGCAGATCCAGGTTAGGGAATGTGATTTACACGTATTGGGCACTGATCGGAGTGCATCTCATGTTTAGGTCACTGGACATACCAGCACGAGAGTCACAAGTGGGGTCTGGCTGTCCGTGTCAAGGGTCTGAGTCATGCGTAAAAAAATCCTGGAATGGAATATTATGGGGAGGATAATATAGGACAATACTAGGTAACAGGCAAACCCAAAAAATTACTCCAAACTAGGCTGTGAGAATAAGACAAGGGGACACTGGTTAAAATTAGTAAAAGGCATATTTAGGACTGAGGTCAGCGAGTTCTCTACAAAGAAAGATCAACACATCGAATCGACCCAGACAGACCAGTAAAGCCAAAAACCTGAGACCATTTAAGAAATAAATGGGTGCCATTAATCATCAAGTGTTTCTCGAGAGAGGAGTTAAGATGAATCTAATCTTTACAATCACACAACAACAGGACACTTATTTACCTATTAGGTACCAGAATTGAGACTACTGCAAAAGGAAATTCAGTTCCGGAAGTTACAACTTAGATTTAAAAGTCTGGTGAAAAGTAAATAACTAATGCATAGGACATCAGAGTAGTTTCGCAGCGGTTAGAAGTGGGCAGTGGTGTGCCATACAGCAAAGACGGCAAAATAAATAATTTCAGGAACTAAAGAAATAGAGGTACGAAGCAAGAAACTAAGGAGCACGTCAACACTGAAGGATGATAATGGAATAGTTTAGGTTAGATGGGCTTCAGATTGGTTTCACAGGTCAGCGCAACATCGAGGGCCGAAGGGCCTGTACTGCGCTGTAATGTTCTATGTTCTATGTTCTATGAATAAGTTGGATAGATGGCAAGGAAAGGGGATAAAAGGGATATGGGAAGAGGATGGCACATGTGATAAGGATTACTGAAGAATAAACAGTACGATGTTCACAATTGTGGAGTACGCATTCCAGAACAAATTGTGTGTGCATGCGCGTGTTGGGTCTAAGGATCTGTAGAAATGGCATACCTTACACACTAAACATTACTGATCTGTGTTGCAATTTGAATTGGAATGTAGGGTGAAGTTTGGACAAGCAACCAAATTACAAGGAATACATTTCACAGAAACAAGACATCAGTCCAACCAGTTCATGCTGAAATTTACTCTCCACTCGAGCATCTTCCCTACCCCTCATTTATATCTGTTTGAGGAAGTGTCATATTGGACTTCAAATGCTGACTTTGTTCTTCTCTCTACAGATGCTGCCAGCATCTGCGGTACTTTGCTTTTATTTAAAGTTATTACTACAGCTATTAATATAATCCTGTACAATTCTCCCTCATCTGCTCATCTAATTTCCCCTGAAATAGATCATTATCACTTGCTTCAACCACTCTGTGGTAGCTAGTTCCATATTCTCAGCACACTGAATTCTTTATTTGAATACTTAAATATTTTATATTGTTGATCTCCAACTTTGTGTTTGCCACAAACAGAAACGAAAAGTCCATTCAAAACCTTATATAATTTGAAAGGCATCTTTTAAGTCACTGCTTCAAGAGAAATGGGGCCGAAACTTTCCATCTCTCAATGGGTAAAACCCCACATCTATGGGATCATCCTTACACATCAGAGGGCAGTCAAGTGTCAACCCACACTGCCATGCATCTGGGGTCACATGGAGGCCAGATCAGGCAAAGACACCAGATTTCATTCCCTAAAGGTCATTCGTGAATGAGATGAGTTTTTACAATATTCAACAATAGTCTCCTAGTCATCCTTACTACAACTGACTTTATATTCCAGCTCTTTAAGTGAAATTAAATTCCAGCTAAGCCCTCAAAGAATTTACCTGGGTCTCCAGATTACGCATCCAGTGACAATACCACTAAAGACAGCATTGCCATAAAAAGGAACTAGGTGTCATTGGACTGATGCATCCTGTTAATGGAAAATACCAGTTGCTTAGGTACTCTGTTGTAACACTAGACATCCTACTTACCGCAACTGAGCAAATCATTTATGAATTTCAGATCTAGCAAGATGCCAGATACAGTCTGTACATCCCAATAACAGGTTGGTCGAATCAAACAGCATGCTCCTACGGTTGTTGTTAACAGGTAAGAGTACAGACTAACTTTTTCAAGCAAGGGTCCACATTTTCTTTCCCCTGCCCCCTCAACTCAAACAGCTGCTCAACAAATTTTGCAAAAAACATTAAACATGTCATATTAAACATGAATTTCAAAAGAAAATTGGAGGTATGAAGAAAATGGTTTGCTGAGAAAAAAGTGAAAACAATAAATTGATATTTTAAAAATGAGCAATTAGTAAAGAAAGCCATTGTTGTCAACAGCAGAACTAAATGATAAAACCTTTTCCTTTTAAGCAGTTTCACTGAAGAAGCAATATTTGACAGAGACAGCATCGAGGCATAGCTAATGTCGGTCTTGCACTCTCCTCTAATGACACACAGAGAGCTGGGCTCAGTCAGTCCGTACTAGGGTGGGGGACAGAAACAGGTTGCCTTTCAACCTGGGTTTTTTGCTTCTCCTGCGAGCTGTGTGGATAGGTTTTTGGAAAAGAAACAAAGAACGAGAAGGCAGATCTGGACATGTCTCTGGCTCGGTTCCAGTCTCCCAGTTTACACACCCTGTGTCTCTCTCACTTGTGCACTGGTGTCTGTCACCATAAGATCCCCTCCACCCACTGTCACAACTGCTTCTCCATCCCTCGTTCTCACTGTATGGATCTCATGAGGTCTGGAGTCTATCTCAAGGACTTGCATGGCAACTCCCTCTTGATCATATACCACTGTGCCATCACCTCTGCTGGCGAGACAAGACAAGGTCAGAAGTCACACAACACCAGGTTATAGTCCAACAGATTTATTTGAAATCACAAGCTTTTGGAGAGCATAACCGGTGTCATGTGACTTCTGACCTTATCAACACCAGTCCAACACTGGCATCTGCACCTCATACTCAAGAGTGGCAAATGGTGGCATTCCTTGGTGTGTGTCAGCGTCTTTCTGTTTGTCCCTCAGCCTCTCTCTTTCTTTCTGTGTCCGGCCTTTCGTCTTGCATAACCCACCTGTCTATCTGCTCACTCATCCGTCCCTCAATCTCTCATAGACCCCATCTGTCTGTCCATCCCTCAGTCTTCCAGAGTCCCTATCTGTCCACCCTCAGTCTCATACAGACTCTCTGCCCAGCCTGTCTGTCTGCTGCAGTGCCAACTAATTTAAGATAATTGATCAAGCTTCACGCATGGCTAATTAAAATATACAAGAAATAACAGGGTTCCATGATTGGCAACAAAAGGAACTTGCTCATGCCTTGCAGCCGAATTGAATTAGCCAGGAGACTTGGGAACCTATAGTATCCTGTTTCTTGTCGATGCTTCGACCAAACAGAGTCAGCAAATCAACACCCTGCTCACCATGGTATAAACTGTAATTGTTTGAAATATGGCATTCTTTCATTTTCCTCATCAGTGCAACAGGTCTCTCTCATCAGCAATTTACTAATTTATAACATGGTATTTATGCTAACTGTTCACAGCCTTGAATTACTGTCTAAGTAAAGTTCAGTACAAGCTCAGCATAACCTCCCCAGATTTCAAATTCTATCCTCTACAAAGTAGCTTGCCTTTTTATAGCCTTAATGACTTGAGAGGACATTTGGTGATTTGCATATTCCTTTTCTCAAACCCTATCTGCCATGTCATAACATGTCCAGACAGGTTGATTCAAGTAACTAGCAGGTGCCCTAGTCTCTTTCATTATTGACCATCCCCTTCTCCAATTTGATGCCTGTTACAATTTAGAAATTGTGCTTTAAATTCCAAGTTGAAAATGTTGACAAAACGTCAAAACCAGTGGTCCCAGCATCGCTCCCTCTGAGAAGAAAGTTTCCATCTCTGTCATTCCAAATAAAGCTTTGCCCCTATTCTGTTTCCTGTTAACTGTTAGCAGCAGTTACTGATTACAACCAGGGCATTGACAGGGCTGGTTTTCTCTTTACTTTAGACGAAGAGTGACCTAACTGGGCTGATAACGATGATGCAAGTAATGTTTAAGCTTGATAGCGAGAAACCAGTCCCACTGATGGAGAGAGCAGAAATCTTAAAATTAGAATTAGACTGGTCAGGGCAATATCCAATAGCACTTCCTCATATAAAAACTGTTGACATTGGGGCAATTAAAACTAATTAAATGTTCTGATCAGATTTTTCTTAAGCAAGGGTATTAATACTTATGAAACCAAAGAAATTAAAACAAGTTAAAATACTGATCAGCCGTGATCTATTTGAATGGTGAAACAGGTGCTGAGCCTTCAAGGCTGTTTCTACACATATTTCACAGGCTTGCTTTTTAAACAGTCTTTACTATATACAAAAGATACATTCCATCCATCTGCTTTGGTTCGAGAACCCTAACATCCATGCTGAACAAAATCTATCAAGCTACTTTAAAATTTTTAATCATCACACTGAGAACTACTAAGAAGGATCCTTACCGGAAATGACTTGATTGACCACACTATTTCACTGCTTTCTGGCACCCACTTCACGTTACCCACCGTGGTCTTAAACTTGGGCGAGTCTGCATCGTTTGGGACTGGAATGTGGATCTCAACATTGTTGGCTGTCGACCTACGTTTGAACTGACTTTTTGCCTGGAGAAGGAGACAAATTGTAGTTTTTGATGCCTTTTCATTGGAAATGCAAAAACACAGCTTGTGACTATTCAATTAAAGTCACACGTTCTGTTATGCACACAAATCAGAGGTACAATTCGACATGCATTTGATTGACACCAGAACTGTACAAACAATACAAGTGTAACTTACACCAAAACCAGTGCCAACTGGTTAATATAGGGGGAGCTCAATTTCTGAGACGAGAGGCTCCTAAGAGGAGAGATCTAATAGAATGGGTCAATATTCTCTGGGATTTAGAAGAATGCGAGATGATCTCATTCACAAGTATAAAATTTTTAAGAGAATTTTGTAGAATAGTTGCAGAGAGGCTGTTTCCCCAGATTGAAGTGGGGAGGCGGAAGCAGAGGCTGGTACAGACACTGTCCACATCAGCATATACTTTGACAAAGACTCACTATGGCCTGTACCTCCAATTCGGAGTTCCAATCAGACTGGCAGCTGGATTCCACTACTCACACCAGGTGAACTGCTGCTTCAGGCAACAGCATTCCTCTTTGTTGTTACCATTCTGCAATTTTGTACTATCCTTGCAGCATGATCCTCAAAGCTCAATGCTGGGTGAGTGTTAAATCACTGCATGTTACACAGAAACTAAGGAGTGACAATCACAAGATTGCCGCTCCACATGAAAACACCCAGTATTAGAAACAAACAAAAAAAAAGTGCTGGAGATCACAGCGGGTGACTTGCTGTGATTTCCAGCACGTTTTGTTTTCAGTACAGATTCCAGCATCTGCAGTAATTTGCTCCTACTGACTGGTACTACCTCTGGGACTGTCAAAGCACAGCCTTCGAAATTAGAAAATTGTAAAGCACAATGGCCACAGAGGAGTTCTGAATCAGAAGAGAGTCAGGAGAAGACAGGGCGGTAAGCTTAAACAATTAGTGTGTGAAGATCACCAAAGATGGGGACATGGAGGCAGAACGTTTGTGAGGTGGTGTCAGTGGGCAGGTTGGTTGGGAGAGGCAGTCAGGGGTCTAGTCGGCAGGAAAAAGGGGAGTAGTTATGGGGAGCAGGGGATAGATGGGGTGTTCAGGGAAGGGGCAGTTCAGGGTGGTCAACAGGTATCAGTCAGATTGGTCTGGAAGCAGGGAGAGAAACTTACTTTCGGCCCCAATGTCAGTCCTGTGTCTGGTTTCCAACAATCCAAACACAAAAGACTTGACATTTTAAAAACTGCATATCGCGGAGGCGGGGATATAGTTTTATATACTATGTGGCTGGTCTTGGAAGTCACAAATCGAATACAGATTGCACATGAGTTTTTGATAGGGTGGAGTGTGTTTTGCAAAAGGTGTCACAACCATGTGGAATAGGGTGGATGGAACTACAGATCTTCTAGCTGTCACTATTTTTATGTTCTTTTAGACCAGTATTATTCATGCCAGAGATTATGTAAGGAGTTGAGAGAGTTTGGTTTTAACTATGAACTAAAGTGATATCTGGACCGCAATGGGAATTCTAAAGTAGGTAGCATAGAATCATATGGCACAGAAACAGACCCTTCGGTCCAACCAGTCCATGCCGAACATAATCCCAAACTAAACTAGTATCCCCTGCCTGCTCCTGCACCATATCCCTCCAAACCTTTCAAGCATAATGGTTAATTGTATTTTTTACTCTTCCATTCTCAATCATAACTTCATAATAAAATTCATTAACAAAGATGTTACTGGTTAAGTTTATTTCCCATGGTTTACAACTGATTTGTCACGGTTAGATCAGTGTTTCTGAAAGCTCTATGGAAGCAGAATATTTCAGAAAATGATTAGGTCACTCACTCAAAGATCCATTTGCAAGCTTGCATGTGGGAAGAAAAGTAGCTGACCTTAATCATGTACTCTATTCGACTGTGGGAGTGCTTCTCAATCACTGACTCGATCCAGATCAGAGGCTTGACCTGGTGATCAAAAAGATGCAGAAGTGTTAACACCAGCTGTGATTTTGAATGGGCAAGGTGCAACAGTCCCTATCACAGGGTCAGTACTCATCTGTGCTAAATGAAAAAGTCCACACGTTAATGCAAGAATATGATTGAGTATTGCTGCTCTAAAGACACACATGAAGAAACCTCTGCTGCACGTGTTTCAGAGATGCAGTGCCTTTAAAGAATATCAGTAAATTCAGTGCATACACTTCCTAGGTCATTAACACAGTCATTGGTGTTAGTGGTACCCTCAAATACCATAAAAAGCCTGTAAACTCCTTGGGCTGCGAACACGAATTTCAAAACTGGCAATTTATTTTCAAGATGGCATTTATGCCTAATCATCAAGTACAGCCCTTTACTCACAATTAACTGTTGATTTGTGTGCTAGGACAACACAAGGGTGCCTAGTCATACATTGTGTTCATTCCATAATTATAGCTTGGCACGTCAATCCAATAAAACAAGGCAAACAAAGGGTTTTGCCCAAAGTTGAAAAGTTATGTTTCATACAGACCTCTGGAACTTTTACATCTGAACATGGGATAAAAGCAGCATTGCAGCGCAAATCAAGCCACAGGTCCTGACCCTCATTTTTATCACAACTGTAACCTGCCTGAACTGACCAACTAAAACTCTGCAAATATGTGTTAACCGCCCCCAAACTCTCACATGACCACAGTCCCACCTACTGTCATCCTCATAACCCAGGCAACAGTCCCATTCCCATTGACAACCCCAATCTATTCATAACAGTTTTCACTCATTGAAGATCCAAATTCACTGAACTGAGATAACAAATTCCCCTATTCTACCACTATCCAATCTAGATACTCTAAATGACCACTCCAAAAAAGGTCAGCACTAGTCTTGATTCGGATTTAGGATGTTTCACTGGAGTCAGATTCTGCTGAGCAGAAACATCCAGTAAAGTCCTACTGGTGCGATTACATTACAGGCTTTCAAGTACTGATGTTTCAGATTTGATTCAGTGGTTTTAACAAGTATAATATCCAATTAACTAATCCAAGGGGCAATCATTCACGCATCTGAACATACAAGTGAGGAGGAATAGGCCATTCAGCCCTTTGAACCTGCTCCACCATTCACTAAGATCATGGCTATCTGTCACTCCACATTCCTTCCAACACCACACCCCAATAACTTTTCACCTCCTTTTCATTTATCTCTGCCTTAAAAATATTTCAAGAGTCTGGTACCACTGCCTTTTAAAGAAGAGAGTTCCAAAGACCTACGTCTTCCATCTGTTTTAAAAAAATCTGTTTTAAATGAGCGACTGTTTTTTTTTTTTAAAAACCAAGAACGTTAGTTCGGGATTCTCACAAGAGGAAATGACCCTTCCACATCCACCCTGTCAACACCTCTCAGACTCTTGCATATTTTAAATCAAGTCACCTCTTACTCTTCTAAATTCCACCACATACAAGCCAGATCTACCCAACCTCTCTTCATAAGACAACTTAACCATTCCAAGTATTAGTCTAGAAAATCTCCAAATTTCTTCCAATGCATTTGTATCCTTCCTTAATTAAGATGACCAGTGTGATACACAGTACTCTAGATGTAGTCTCAGCAGCATCTTGTACAATTGAAGCATTACCCCGCCATTTGCTATTTTTCCAATCTGATGGAAACTTCTTTAAACCTCAGGAATTTTGGAACATTAAAAGCTTTGCAGAAGAGGAGAGTGCCACCATGTATTTATTCACCAGCAAGTGAGCAACTTATTGAAGTAACTGGCAACGCACGGGATCATAATACTGGTAATTCGTTGGGAATCTTAATCTAATGATTTCCCTAAGGTAATAGACAGACACAATGTAGGTTGCACATTATTCACATGCTGATGGTTACCTACACAGCTGTGCCCAGCTTAGTACTTACATGTGTGTTCAAACGGTAGGACATCAACTCAAACTCTCCATCAGGGGGAATGAAAGAAATGGTTCTGTCATTTTCAAATCTAGAGAGACGTACACATTGGTGAAATTTCACGTCTTCCAATTCCACAGATTTGCTTTTCCCTCCTGCCTCAAGAAAGAAAGGAAAACATTTTAACACAGCCTTGGTGCTGACACATCAAACTTTTTTTTCAACAGACAAAAATTCAAAGATTTTGCAGATTGCTTTCTGGAAATGACAGGAACAGTAAAAGAACCAACACTTAGTTGTAACTTTATAAATCAGAAATTTCTCAATGCAAAGAGAAATTGCAGCAGAAAATCTAAAACTTCATTCTGGACCAGAGATAAATGCCATTCCAACATCCTTTTACACACAGAATTACAATACACCAATAAACCGCGATCATGTCCACACAGATTGGCATCTTAGTAGTCTTATGCACAAAGATTTATGTCCTCTTCCAATTTTCACTCCTCTGCATGATTTTAAATGCCATCTCACAGTTAAACTTATCTATATTTTCTTAAAGGAATGCCATCCTGCTGTTATCTAGTCATGAGGAATCTCTGATAAACTGAATAAAATATCAATTATAGTTTCATTCATTTCAGTCCTCATCTCAGTTTTGGCGCTCACGTGAAAGTATTTCAACAGAGACTTACTTAAAAAGGTGTAGCTTATTCATTACCAGATATTCAGTAATATACCCAGATCCTTCCATGCCATTCCAGGAAAATGGACGTATTTACTCAGTCAGCATCTCCCTTTTTGCCTTTGCAGATGTGCATCAATAACTAAGTCAGTCCTTTTGTAGCCCCCAGATTGCTTTTTGTTATCAGGGGGCAGGCGTGAACTAAGTGGGATACTTGCTGCCAGGTGTGAAGCACCCTTCAGATGAGCACACTTGGGAAAACTCCCTTGAATGGAAAGAGTGGAACTACACTTTATACTATATGGACAAGACAGAAATATTCCACACCAACCCCTTTTGAATGGTTTATGCCTATTTCTGACAAATGTCAAAATAGTTTTTAAATGATGTTAGTGCATGGGATATTGTTTGGTCAACTTGGGGATGTGTACAGGTTTTCCGCAAGTGCAACTCATTTCTTCCTTGACCAGAGGAACAGAAACATATAAACAAGGCAAAATTAATTTCACTCTCTGCTGTGAAAATCATTCTCCCCGCCTAGCCAAAAGTGGAGCCACTCTGGAAAATACATCTGTGAACTCAAGCGTTCTGGTACCTGCAAGCCAGGTCACAGCATCAGTGGTTGCATACATCTGCACAGGTTCTCTTCGTTATAGACTGAATACAACACATCATATCAACAGGTCACCGCTTCACTCCCCCACACAAATAAGCATCTCGTGGAAAACGCAATTATTGACTGACTGCAGTGTTTTCATTAGAGCGCTGCTTTGGTTAAACAAACAGCCACTTTAATCCAGTGAAATTACAAGGCACAAAACAGGTCAGCAACCTGCCAAATGGCTTGGCGCAAGTCAATTTGCTCCTAATTGCAGGAAGCATAAGGACTGCTGGCACAAACAAGGCAGCTGGTGGTTTGTGGGCAAGAGATCACTTCTGGCCAATACATCGTCTGGAAATTAATTGGTTTTGTAAAGAATAACATTTGGCTTTTTAGAGAAGTAAGCAATCTGGTTTATTTTGTAAAGGTTATATACATTCTTTTTGCAGCAGTGGCAGCAATGAACAGCCAGACAACTGGAAAGTTTGCAGATCAGTACATAGTTTTGACTCTGTTTAGTTGGCTATAGTACACCAGAAGGGTAGGGGAGTTCTCAGTAGTATCTTGGCCAGTGTTTGTCCCACAATAAACATGAGCTGAATGCTGATAACAGTGGTGCAAAATTGGCTAAGGAATAGGAGGAAGAAAACAATGGTAATTGGGTGTTTGGCCGACAAGAGAGAATAGGTTTGTATTAGAACAAATCCTGGTCTCATTTTACATAGGTGACCAGGAATTGGGAATAGGTAGTGTATCTTCAGAAGTCTGCGAATAATACTACTTACAACATGCTCATGCTTCGTAAGCCTAACAGAAGCATACTTTTAAAGGGGTTTGATAGGGTAGACACTGAGTGGGTGTTTTTGCCAGCTGGGCAATCTAGAACAAAAGAACATGGTCTCTGGGTAAGGGGTCAATTATATAAGACCGAGATGAGGACTTATGAATCTTTAGAATTCTCCACATCAGCGTTGAGGATGTGCCATTACTGAAAAATATTGAAGGCCAAGTCTGACTGATTTCTGGTCTCCGAATTGAGGGATATAGGGAGAGGGTGGGAAATTGGAGTCGAAGACACAATGTTCAAGCAGGGTCAGATTACTCCTGCTCCTTTCTAATGCTCTTGTGAGCTTCACAAGGATACAGACAGACTGGTAAAATGGGCAGATACATCACAGATGAAATTACTCTGGGCAATTGTGAAATGATGCACTAAGAAACAATGTGGCAAGCAATGCTATCTAAAATGCTGCAAGAACAAAGGGACATGGGCTTAGTACTCAAATATTTGAAGACAAAATGGCAACTTGAAGTTAGTCAAGGAAATCTCGTGGAATATTTGGTTTTACAAATAGGGGAACAGAATTTCTGAAACAAGGAATTAGTGTTAAACCTTTACAAATCTCAAGTTAGCCTCAGCTATCTGGGCACCATACTTTAAGGACATCAAGGTCCTGAAATGGGTACAAAGGAGCCTCAGCATCACTTAAGCCACAGTCCACAGAGGGTATACACCTCTGTAAGCCAACATGATTGTATAGCCTAATGGGCACCATTCTGCACCAAGCTAGAAACAGGCAAGCTTCCACGAACTAGCACAGCCAGTATGGAAATTGATGGTTTAATCAACCATATCATCTTCACCCAAGTCGTCAAGCACACTGAGCTAACTGACCCTCTCAGATAGGGATGACGGAATTCAGTTACATGGAGTGATGAGAGGAAGCAGGGATTGTTCTCCTTATGGTAGAGAACATTAAGGGGAATCCTCAGATAGGCATTCAAAGTTATGAGTGGCTTCGATACAGTAAGTAGAAAGAAACTAAATCCTTTGGCAAAGGACCGACAACCAGACATCTAAGACTGAAAATAACCTGGGAGATATCACAGAGGATTGTTAAGATCTGAATGCACTGCCTGAAAAGGTGGTGGAATAAGGTTGGCCACGTACTGAAGAAAATTTGCCAGGTGATCAGGGAAAAAAAAAAACCTGAATTTGTCAGCTCTTTGAAACAGCCAACACATGCAACCCCTACTATTTCCAGCTTTTCATCATTTACAAATACTCTAATGGACCATTAGGTCCAAGCAGCAGCAAGGTAAATGAGCAGCTCAATATTGAGTAAGCTGACAAAGAAACATTGACCTTCCTGCTCTTTTTCCGACAGTGTTATTGGATTTTTACATCTTTCCAAGAGGGCACGGCTGGAACATTCAGCCCCATTTCCTCCGAATTTCATTGGGTTGGTAGTTTCAGTTTTACAAACTATATTCTTCATTTATTAAAAAGGAGTAAAACAACTCAAATAGGAAACTGCCCAAGCTTCCCTATGCTAAATCCCACAAGTATAGGGCATAGTTTTAGCCATGTCTTTACATAAAACAAACAGAAGGATTCGCCTCCTGATACACAATTAACACTTTGACATAATAACTAAAAGAATACTCACGGCCTGTGTTTTCAAACAACACTTTGTCATTTAGACCAAGCCTCAACTCTGGCATGCCCGATAGAAATACTCTCATTTTGATAGAGCCTACTATTTCACTACGTAACACATTTCCATTAGCACTAACCTAGAGGGAGAGAAAATAAGATGACAATAACTGCAGAACTGATTCACGTGGATTTCCATTTCAAACTAAGTGTATAAAAGGCTTTACTAGTGCAATCTAGAAAACCAAATCATGAAATATTCAAGCATTGATAACGTGGGATGGCACTTCAATAAACATTCAAGAAATCAAGTTTAGCTTTTTTAATGCTCAGCAAGTTGAGCAGCATCAAAATGAGAAATGGAAACTTTTTAATTCTTTTGCTGGGACTTTAAGGGCAGTCTCTACTATGCCGAGCTTTGGACAGCTGCCTCAACAATACCCAACTTCTACTGAATATTCACTGCCTCAGAATGACATCTGTTGCCTGCATTTGTACCTTTTCAGATGGCATTACCAATTTATAATCAGCAGTTCCACTGATTACCAGTACTGACAGGCTGAAGCAGGATTCTTACAGTTTGTATATTATCCAACTAGCAAGGGGCAGAATCATAACTAGGATTCAGAAGTGAGTGCACTCATCCACTGTAGAAAGCTGCCGTGATACTACTAAAAAATGTTTTTGTATCCCATATACCCTAAGGTATCAATGTTCCCTTTAAAATGTTGTTGTGTACAGCCCATAGTATTAGCCTGCAGCTTGTTTAAATTTCACAGCACAGCTGCACATGCCTCATATTTGTGACAAAGTAGCAGACACAGCTCAATAGAACACATTTGCACCTGTACGTCATCCACAGTTCCTTGGCCAAGTAGATAGACCAAAGTGGGGGAAAAGCCACGAGTTCACTTGAAATGCATACAAGTTGCCCATTTAAGTGAAAGAGCTTGGAAGCAGGTCTCAGCACTCTTAAGGGATGATCCATGGGCGGTAAAAAGGCTTCATTAACAGCAAAGCCACTCGCATGCTGAAGGATCTGAACATTACCAATGCCTGGTAATTCAATCAATAATGCTGCTCGTTTTCACAGATTTGAGTTTTCTCTCCTCCCTCTCCCAAATGAAATGGAAGTCTTCAATGTTGGTAAGCATGACTGGTCCATGGAGAACGAACTTACCAATAGGTTGACAGATTCAATAACGTCGAGAAACACTTCATTTTTCCGATACTTAATCCCCTCTGATCTCCAAGATACAGCATTAGTAACTGTTGCTGGTGGACGGGGAGCCCCAGTGTCCAGCTTATGACCTTCCTGTGTGATGTACCTAAGATGGAATGAACACAGGTTACAGATTCATCCAATAAAGGGCGACTTAGCAACTGACACCCAGACGTTGAACTTCTACAGCAGTCACATTTCTTCAATCTAACTACAGCGCTGTTTCCAGTCCTAACACTTTGTTGGTGTTGAATGGGTAAATATTGCTTGGATTTCACAAGTCAGTAGCAATATATAGGCATATCCCACTGATTACATTTAAAACTATACTCATTTGTTGCCTGCAGCTGCAGCAGATTGCTCTCCTGGCTGCTGTGTGGATTCATTGGCAGGGTGAGCAGAGCCCTGTGGCATAGCACAATTCTGGAATGCCATTTCTCATTTGATGTGAAGAGCTGAAGACAAGCCCCTAGAGGCTCACCTTCGGCCTAATGATAAAATAGTTAGACTATTACTGAAATGTTTTCTTCAGTGCATTTCTAATTTGAGCGATCCCTACTCCAGCACCTTCCCACTACCCAACCAGCAGCCCCTACTTCTAGCTCTGCTCACCCATTTGTTTCCCCTTGTGGACATCCCCAGCCCAACTCTCATTCACCGATCCTACGCACCATAGCTTTGCTCTCCCCAACTCACTGTTACTGGGACCTCAAAATCCAGGCCTACGTTTTGCTGAAAACAGAAAATGCTGGGAATCTCAGCAGGTCAGGCAGCATCCGTGGAGAGAGAGGGAGCAAGCCAACTTTGAGTCTAGATATCTCTTCACCAATACCAGCAATTCCACTGTGCCACCAAGCTGCCCACGCCATTCAAAGAGAGAAGTTCACCACATTCTCAAGGGCAACTTTTCCAGCAGTGCCCACAGCTCAAGAATTATTCTCTATTTCAACATGGTAAAACATCGGTACCAGAAACTATGCACTTTGGAACTTATCGTTATAAACACTGCATTCTGTTTTGGGGGCTTTTCTGAGGGGTTTGGATAAACTTTATTTCACTTTGGAGCAGCAGGATGGGTTTGCTAGAGTGGCAGAAGACAAGAAGTGGCATTCACTAAAGGGTCACTTAGACAAGTCCAGGAAGAGCTCCCAGACCGGGTGGGTGGTCTCATTAAAGTGCACTGTGAAATGGCCAGACAGTAACTGCAGCCAACCATCCAGAGAAAAACAAACTATTACTGAGTAACAGCATTATGGAAAAGGGAAGGAGTACCTGCATTTCATTAGCAATTATTTTCATTGGCAAATGGCAACTTCATTTTAAAAACTATTCACTCAGCAAATAATATGCCACTATTGCATCCTGTGACCAAACAGTAATAACCAGAAGAATAAAAGAGAAATGGAAAGGGGCAGAGTAAAACGAACAAATAATCTGCAATGTTTATATTCTTTATGACCAAGCAATACCAATTAAAGATGTAAATGAAAGCCATGGTATTTGGGGCAGATTTTTGCCCCTACCCAAAAACAAATACAACTTCGACACTATAGAAGAGCAAATCCAGGTTTACATTAATACACATAGGGTGTACACAAACCCACTTATATCACAAGATTTTCTATTTGCAATATTCCTATCATGGTCAGGGGAAAACTACAACATCCAGCCTGTGCCAACTCTCACAGAATGATTCCGCACTATCCCCATTTCTCTGTATTTGCCCAATATTTTTATAATGTTTCAACAAACATTCATCCTCTTCTTTACCAAAAGTTACAGGATCGTTTCCAGTTTCCAGATCTAAACGAATTGCTCAAGGGAAAAGAATCTTAACCTGTCTCTTTGTCTGCCCTGTGATTCATTTAAATCAGCTGTCGTCTAATCACTAATACCAGAACAAGTGAAAATCGTCTTTACTTATTCACCTCTCAAAGCTCTGGAATTTTGGACATGTCAGATCTCCTGTTAACTTTCTCTGTTCTATTCTCAGGAGTGCTATCCTTTGTTACAGTTGCTAATTCTGGTTGGATGCACTTCCATTGGTGTCATTACAGGATGCCCAGTCTCCAAATGCCCCACCCTTGGTATTCAATTCCCAAAGTTGCTGGGCCACATTTGGAGGGTTGATAGACTCACATTGTGCCAGTACCCTTCAGATCAAAAGGAAGCAAGGACAAGAGGATTAAAAGCAGTAAGCCACCCTATCACCTCTGCTTCCTGTAGCCAGCTCTCATTATTATTGGATAACCTCCTCAGACATGCAACAGCAGTGAAGCTTTCAGAACCCAAGCCAGACAGGTTGGTTTGCTGACTTCAACATCTAGAGTCCATAAGTGGTTGCGGCCACATGCCAAAGGGTATTGTTTGGCCAGTTCAGCTGTTGCTGAAAGACACACTCTGCCTTTCTTGCCTGAGAATATGATCAGTGGCCATTAGTCAGCACAGTGAAGTGGGAGCTAAAAACCAAGCAGTGGGAAATGAAACAGTTGCACAAAGAATGTGGACTAGTCCAGGTAAAGTGAAATCTAGATAGAGCAAAATCAGGCAAAAATCTAAAACCAAATCACACAGGAACAAAAACAGAAGTGGCTGGAAAAGCTTAGCAGGTCTGCCAGCATCTGTGAAGAAAAAAATCAGAGTTAACGTTTCGGGACCGGTGACCCTTCCTCAGAAACAAATCTCACAGACTGGGACAGGTGACTAAAAGATTAAACAAATAAGTAGGGAATTCCAAAAGTTAGGGCCCTGGGTGCCAAAGGTATTTGTCAATGATGAATTATGGAGAAATGACAATCAGGGTACACAAAGTTAGAATTGCAGGCTGCAGGAGCATCAATAGCTCACAGCATTGTATGGTTGGACTAGGGAGATATAGAGAGGAGTGAGGTCATTGAGGAACCTGAAAGCAAAGATGGGATTTCTTTTCTTAAAAAAAAAAGCACACGTTTCTATAGTGAAACAACGGTCTCCTGAAATAGCCTACTAAGAGTCCAGCACATTGCTCTGTGTCTGGAATCACAAGCAGTCCAGACCAGGTAAAACTTCCTTCCCTGAAGGTTATTAGTGAACTTAATATGTTAACAACATTTCAGCAGTTTCATTATTAATAAGGTGCTAATGCTTTATTCCAGAGTTATTAATAAATAAAATTTAAATTCCCCTAGCTGGTGTGATGGCATTTAAACTCATGCACTTGAATGATCACTCTACACCTCTAAACCAATGGTCCAGGAACATCGCCTCTATGGCGCTACACCCTTAACATGTAGACCAGTGAACAGATGGGTGAGCACAAACAGGACTTGTGCATTCTAGGAAACAGACAGCAGAGTTCTAGATAGACTCAAGGATATGGAGGGTGGATTAGGTCTGGATGAAATCAAAGTCAGACATGAGGACAAGCTGGCAGACAGAGATCAACACACTGCCAATGTGGCCATGCCCAGAAACAGATCAGCATTGTTTCTCACATCACCAAGTTACAAAGGTCTGCTTTAAGGTGACCAAACTGCCAGGGCAACACTGGGGCACTACAACTGACCTTGAAGAGTTGGGTCTTTGGCCCATCCATGCTTCAAGGCTCTCAGACATTTGCTCAAAACCACAGTGTCCAACTGTATACCATCCCTGACAGTTTGAACTTTGAAACCTGGTAAATAGCTGAATTCAAACCTAACTCCAATGCAAAAGATTCATCCATTCTCATCCTCCCATCCCAGAGAGGAGGAGGAGGGAAAAATATCACCAGCCATAATCCTAGATTGAATTCTGTCACTACTTTTAACATGCATTCTGTCACTACTTTTAACATG